TTTATTGCTTATATATATATATATATATATATATATATATATATATATATATTCTCAAAAATAAAAATCATATATTTCGAGTTACGTGACAGGAAAGTCTTATACTTAGCTATGATCCAATATGACAACCCCAAATAAGGGAACAATTATTAGGTTAGGTGACCGGACGTAACTCTACGTTCGGACGCCAATAACATATCGCCACGTGGTCTTACTCAATACCGTGCGGAACGACGACTTGACCTGGGATTGCTATGTTCGCGTATTGCTCGGTATTGCTTGTCAATAATGAAAAATATCGCTCTGTGAAGACCAATACCGAGAAAAACTCGGTATTGCTCGGTATTGGTCTTCACAGAATGGTATTTCTCATTATTGTCGAATAAAATCGACCAATACCGAGCAATACTTAGCAACATGCGAACATAGCAATCCCGTCTCTGTTCCGAGTCGGGGTTGTCAGGCCGCGCGGTAAATAGTGAGAACATGTTGCACTATTTTACTCGCGTCAGAACGTAGAGCTACGTCAAGTGACCGGACCAAATAAAAGTTGCAAATAAGGACCAGCATGAGCATTACACAAAACACATATATATATGCACTTGCATTACTTGTGTTACAACTAAGTATCAGCATACAAAAATAATTTAAGTTAAAAAAAAATAAATCAATATATCATACATTATTACCCTATTTTCTTGATGCTAACATAGTGAAGAAACTAATGGACAAAGAAATAGAGGGGCGAGACAGAGAAAGTAAAGCAGAATTCTTATTCTTTTTTTGTATATCTTTATAGAGACCTACGCTAGCTATATATAGACTAGGACAGACGGACAGAGCTAGTGAACGAATCAAGTATTTACAAGAATACCTATCAGCTATTTACATTACAGAACTCCTTTTTGTGACTTTGTATGTCTTGCTCTAATACTCCCCCGCAAACAGAAGGTTATTGAGTGACCGTCAGTTGGTGACGAAGTTTTTGAAACCGTGGAGTCGAGAGTGCTTTGGTGAAGATGTCAGCGACTTGGTCGATGGTGCTTATAGGTAGGATAGAAATGTTGTTATTCTGAATATGATCACAAACGAATTTTTGGTCGATTTCAATGTGCTTTGTGCGAGCGTGGAAGACCGGATTATTTTCTAAAGCTATTGCTGAGTTATTGTCACAGTATATCGGTGTGGGTCCTTCTTGATGAATGCCGAACTCGGACAATAGTCGCCAGATCCAGATGATATCGGCAGTGAGTGCCGCTAATGCCCTATATTTGGATTCAGTGGATGAACGGGCGATGGTGTGTTGTTTCTTCACCGTCCATGAGATAATTGTAGATCCAAGGAATGAGCAATAGCCTGAGGTTGATTTTCTTGATTCGGGATCTCCGGCCCAGTCAGTATTTGAAAAAGATTTGAGGTGAAGGTCAGTTTTTGAGATCGGGATACCATATTTAGACGTACCTTTGATATATCTTAAAAGATGTTTAAGCAAGAAGACGTGCTGAGGTTGCGGGTTATGCATGTGCTGAGATAGTTGATTGACACTGTAGGAGATGTCAGGTCGTGTAATAGTCAGATATTGTAGGGACCCTATTAGACTGCGATAGTACTGTTCATCCTGAAGCTTTTCGTCCGCTGTGAATGACGTTGGGAGTTTGGTACATGTCGGGTTTGCCAACGCCTTGCAGTCCTGTAGTTGCGCCTGTGCTAGAATTTGGTTTACATATTTTTCCTGTGATAAAAAATAACTATTAGAATGCTTTGTAATTTTAATACCAATAAATTCGGATACCTCCCCAAGGTGTTTCATATTGAATGCCTTATTTAGT